AATGTATGACAAGAGTGCACCTCAAAACATATACTACATCATAATAGGAGTTCTGACCTTTGTCACAAAAATTATTTTTCGTTTAATTTTTCCCTATAACATGTTTTAGTGATCATCATAAATTATATATCATTTGAAAGCGTAAAACCTCAAAATTCATCCTGTGAAAACCATTTTGACGGACATTCTGTTAACATGGAAATGGTACTTTAAAGGAGACAAATTATGGCCCTTTTTACAATATGTAATATAAGTCTCTGGTGTCCCCAGAATGTGTCTGTGAAGTTTCAGCTCAAAATACTCCACAGATAATTTATTATATAATTTTGAAAATGCCTATTTTGAAAGCAGAAACTTTTACAATATGTAATATAAGTCTCTGGTGTCCCCAGAATGTGTCTGTGAAGTTTCAGCTCAAAATACTCCACAGATAATTTATTATATAATTTTGAACATGCCTATTTTGAGTGGAAGCAGAAACATGCTGTTTTTTGGGCCTGTGTCTTTAAATGCAAATGAGCTGCTGCTCCCCGCCCCCTTTTCTAGAATAGAGCTGCAATCTGTTTTGGTTCTGATTATAATGTTTATCTCAATGAAATCATGCGTTTGGAATAGAGCTGTGCCATTACAGCTCGTACCTGCTAAAAACATCTGTTTTGTTTCTGATTATAATGTTTATCTCAATGAAATAATGCGTTTGAAAGCCATATTAGTTTAAACTTCTGATATACGGTTTTCTGAGAGCACACATCCGAAGCACACGGTCAGAAAGCGGCTGTCACAGCATCTGAGTACTAAACTAAGTTCTCATTCACACACAAGTTTACGTTAAAACACACATGAGTTACAAAAACAGTCGGTTATGTCTGTGAAGGTAAACAGCTGGGAAATAAATTGCATGTTTGTTTTAGATCTGTGTGGCAGCAGCAATATACAGTAAATAAATAAATAATTCCACTGCTCTCTTGTCTTCTCTGAGGCTGGGAATCTAAATAGTGTTCTGTGCTCATCTGTGCAGCTAAAGACAGAACAGATAGCATGTTTTGCTCAAACTTTAGCCATGGCATTACACTGTTGTCGCTTGCGAAAACACAATAACGACACCGTGGCACTTACAGATTAAGGGGCGGTAATATTATAACGAGATCCCTTTGCCACGTCACCAAGGGAGCGAAATCTGACATGCTCGTTTTCTCAGACGCTTGCAGAAAAAGGCTTACCAAAACAAAGTGATTGGGTTAATCTTTTTCACATTTCCTTGGTTGGTAGATGCACC